GAACTTGAGATGGAGACTCAGCCAACATAACGAAGCAAAATGACATCATTTGTAGCAAGGACTCGACGATTTCACATAAAGAGATGAATTGACATTCCCAGCGAAGAGTTCACAGTGTGACAAGAAGAGACCAAGATGAAAATAGTGTTTTTTATCATTGCTTCATTCCCTTTTCACTGCAATAAGCAAAGAGGGGCAGCTGTGATCACCATTTTTACCATTTTCATTACAATCAGGCCTCAAGGCCCAAACTGAACCCAAATCGGGCAGCCCCAAACCAGACCTGACCTAAATCTAACCTAGCCCTATAGTTGTCCAAACACCCCAATTAGTGGCCACTATCCACTTCCCCCAACCAGAGGTTGTCGGCCTCTACACCAACCAGAGGAAAACCACTCCAGCACTCCATGCCATTGCACAACAACAAAACAAGACAGAGTTATCATTTCTTTTCTCTTTTTTTCTCAGTAAAAGGGCATAAGAACCGAACAAACAAACACTACAGGAGACTCGCTAATATTCAGAAAAAAAATAGCTTTGTAATTTGGGTTCTTTTCAAAGAAAAAAACCATAAGCATTCAAGGTTACTTTTTCTGTTTTTTTAGTTTGAATCGCTTTTAGCCTTTTTTATTTTTATTTGTACTACTTTCAATTCTAAATATCAGTAAAAAAAAGATAGTTTTTAGTTTTTGAAATAAAACACCACCCTTTTCTCTAGTTTCGTTTCATATGCCAATGGTTTCGAAAAAATAAACAAAAATAGCATTTTTTTAATCGAACAATAACAAAAATTGTGGCTTTTTTAAACACTGATATTCAACCATTTTACGCAAAAAATACAAAATATTAAAAGAGTTGTAGATCGTAACTTACCTGGGTTGTCGGAAGAGTTACCGGAGCCCAGGAAAGCTGAACGGTCTCGGCCATTTTCTTTGCAATGGAGGTAGTTTTGTGCGAAACTGTGCCCAGATCTGCAACAAGGAACCCGAGATGAGCCTCCCCGTAAATTTTGGTGGCAAACGGCCATCAGAGACGACAGTGACTGGCGAGGGCCAGGTGGCCGGCGGCAATCGATTTTCTAGAGAGAGGGGAGAGCCTCTCTCTCTAACTTTTTTAAAAAATGAAAAAAATTGTTATTTATAGAAAATTTTCGGGGGAAATCGCATAGAGGTCCCCCGAGTTCTCCTGTGTTTTTGCAAAAAATTCACTAGCAGGGATCGTTTTTATAATTTATCCATTTTCAGTTTGTACTTTATATTTTTTGGTGAAATTTATGTTTAGTCCCCTTACTTTTAGCGTGTTTTTGTATTTTAATCATGTGTAGTGACCTTTTAATTTTTTTAAATTTTTCGTGGACTGATTCTGTAATTTATCCTTTTTAGTTTAACATATTGTATATAGGCTTAAATAAATTGGAAAATTTCCTTTTAGTCCTTGTAACTTCCGTGTATTTTTACATTTTAGTCCATAATCTGTTTTTTTATTTTATTTCGATTTAGCCTTCAAATTTCGATTAGTTTTAATTTAGCCCCATTTTATGTTTAATTATTCCCTTTCAGTTTAGTAATTTTATATTTATGCAATTAGGTTCTTGTATGTATGTTTATTTTATTTATTTTATGTTGTGTTTTTTTGTTTATTATTTATTATTTTAATTATGTTTATTAATTGTTTTGATATTTCATAGTATAATTCTTAGATTTAGTTTTAAATTAGATTAACATTAGAATCAAGCTTAGAAATTAGGACGACACTCTAGTTTAATTAGGGAGCAATTCGAGTCGAGTTTTCACATAAGATGCCCGATTACTCGAATCAATTGCTCGACTTTTAAAATTTATTAATAATCAATATTTTCTAAAAAAAACTTTAGGCTTTGTTCTTTAAATAGGTTAATTTAGATAATAATTAAGCTTTTAGTTTGTTATTTAGTCATCAACTTTAGAAATTATCAATTTAGGTCCTTAAGCTTTTAAATCTTTTAGAAATCGATATTTTTAGATCTTGACCTTTTAGTCCCCGAATTTCGATTAGACCTTTAAGATTGACATAATTAAATAGGTTAAATAGAGTCTCCATTTTAGGTTAGATTTCAAATTAGTCTTTAAATTTAGGGAATAATACGAGTTGGCCCTCGCCTAAAAGCTCGAGGGACCATCTCGGTTATTCGATTCAATAATTGGTTTAATAATCAAATAGGGTTAATATTATAACCTACACTTCTAGGTTTGTGCCTTTAGGTTCTTTAACTTTCATAATTCGACATTTTAGGACAGAGAAAGCCTTTAATTTACCTTAGCTTAATTAGGATTGATAAAAAATTTATTTGATTGCATTTTATTTTTAAACCTAAGGCAATGTTGACTTATTGAGAAATTAATGATATATCTCCCGCAAGTATGCTCAGGGGGTAACTACTGGTGATTCCCGAAATAGGTCGGCATCCTTTTCAAAGACCGCATCATGATTTCTAAAATTAAGGCAATGTTCGGTTCTTAGGCTCAATAGTTGATCTCCCGCATTTATGCTAGGGGACGAATGCTATCGGTCTTAATAAACAGATACCCTTTTCAACTTTGCATCCGTAATGATTTTCAAATTAAATAAAGATCGAACTCAAAAATTTCTGATTTTAAATATAGGGTAATCAACTAGGTACCAATTTTTGGGCGCTTTTAGGGGTGCTAATCCTTCCCCACGCATAATTGACTCCCGAACCTTATTTCTGGATTTTTGCAAACCTTAAAACTCGGTATTTTGATAAAAATAAAATGTTTTATTAAAATCACCCGGTTTTTATGGTGTCCCAATCACACCTTAAATTATTGGTGGTGACTCCTTACATTTCGAAAAATCTTTTCAAAAAAGAAAACCCCCGAGTCGGTATCGGTCTTTCCCCGCATGGGCGAAAATTGGTGTCGACACATCTGAAGGGAAAGGGAAGAGGAAGATGATATCCTAGGAAAAGGAATGAGAATGCTCATAGTGAGTTTAGAACTCATGACCTAAGGGAATATGAGGGAACAAAGATGAACAATTTGACCAACCGAACATATGTACTAGCTCTAATATTTTACTTCTTAGATATCGATATTTGATAACATAAAAAAAATGCTTGTTTTTAGAAAGGGTATAGTATCCATACCCGGAGAGTGCGTACATATGCATTAATAATACAAAATTTTCACGAGATGAGCACAAATAAAATCTCAAAATAGACACAATTAATAAAATAAATAAATAATCGAAGAAAAGTGTGATTTTTTCCTAATTTTTCTTTTTCTAGAAGATTGACAATCATTTCTCGATGTGCCCTTGGGTGCAGTTGTTGTACAAGCCTTTCTTTTATTTGCAACACTCTAAACAACAGATACAACTTCAGTTCCAACATAAGGTGGCTGCAAATATAAACAAATAGAAGTCGTAATAACAAAATTAGTACTCAATATTTGTATAAATGTTCACTTTGACCTATATTTTTTTAGTATTTTAACTCTTAACATTTTAATTTTTGGTCAGAATAATTCATGTTGGATGGAAACTATTAGTTGACTAACGATCAACGCATATTGTTAGTGTGTCATTTTCATATGTTTTAATTGATGATGTGGCACAATTGATGATGTGGCACAAAAGATGATGTGGTACATGTTACGTCGTCAAAATGATGATGTAACATGTGTCACGCTACCAAAATGATGACGTAATATGTGTCACACCACCTAAAATGATGACGTGATATGTGTCACACAATCAATTAAACACGTGTGAAAATACTGGGGCTAAAATGTTACCAAAAAAAGAATAAATATCAAAGTGACAATTTAAGTAAACATTTGTTTCAATCCAACATTGACTATTTTGACCAAAAATTAAAACATTGGGGTTTCAAATGCTTTAAAAATAAAAATGACCATTTAAATTATCGTTGTGCTAATTTTTCTACTATGCCTGATAGAAATCATACCTTTAAGTAAACGTCTGGCGTCATGGGGCATCTGGTTCTGTTATGGCCTTCCTTGTGGCAAAAGCTACACCTTAATATGCTTCCAACCCTAGACATTGTCATCTTCTTTGGACCCTCTAAGCCATTTCTCCTCCTCTCTTTCTTTGGAATCTCATTGGGAGTGGTAAACAAGCATCTCTGAAGATTTGCCCAACAAAGAAACTTCGATCACCAACAGACCCTTCGAGCATCATTGGCATCCGATCCATCAGATGTGGTTATATGACTACCTGTATGATCCAAATCGATGAAGAAAGCTTTTGGCAATGGATTGTCGCCAGATTTCTCAGTTCCATCACCAAATTTTTTAAAATGATTTGACAACTTGAGCACACTTTTGTCGTCAAACAACAACTTCAAGCCATCGTCTAAACTCTTTCCCGGTTCCAAAAAATACAACTGCTTAACCTGGTCGAAACCATACTCGAGTTGATGCACCACCATCGATAACAAACTCCAATAACATATCTCTTCAACATCATAATGCTCCATAAGTTGTACTTATTCATATACGATGATTTTGGGTTCCCTTTGAAAGTTCCACCATGATGAACTCTTATATTAACTTTTTTATGAAAAATCCAGCTTGACCTAAAACATTTCAAATAACACTTGTTTCAGAAAATATATACAGTACGGCTTGTATAACAACATAATACTATCCACAAAGTACACCAACACATTTCAAATAACTGAGGTCAGTAAAGCCTTGTGGTATTCATAAAATCTTCATAAAGCATATAAAACTTCAAATAACAATTCATAGCAAACCTAAACCAAATAGTTTATATAACACTTCAACCATTAACCAAACGACCCCGGTGGTTAAGGGATTTTTTTTAAAGTCTCAGGTTCGAGTACCGCATATACCAAGTGTAGAAAAGATTTGACATGGGATAATCAACAGTCCTATGGAATATTAACTCTTTCCACCTAAGAATGACTAGGTGAATTGATTGAGCTCAAGTTAGCTAGAGAGGGATAAGAAGAGATGCAGATATTGTCCCGAAGGCATTCTATTTCCTCATCTCAATGTAAATTCATTGCTCCAGAAAAAAAGATAAAAAATTTAACAGCAATATATCATCCCACAGCAATCACAAACAAAATTTGAGATCCTAATAATGGAGGTAAATATGTGTTGCTTATACAAAACTGAATCCATGAATCTCTATCTAGTCTTCAAGAAGATTCTGCTTCTTGATGGCATTCAGTAGTTTCACTGCTTACAGCGGTTTCATTGCTCTCAACGGTTTCGCTGGTCTCGGTGTTTTCACCTACACCTGTACCTTCTGATGACTCCCCTTGTTCGGGCTTCGAAGGCCCTGGACCAGCTGATACTTTAACCATTGACGGTCGCAACAGCCTGTCTCCAAGCTTGAACCCCTTGCGAAATTCTTGAAGAATGATACCTTCTTCGAATTCAGTGGAATCCTCGCGCATGATCGCTTCATGCAGCTTTACAAGACAATCAGAAAGCATTTTGTAAGAAAGTTATTGAAGTATGTATGAACATAAAAGAAGCTCCTGTGAAGTTTCTTCTTATCTTGTATTTGTATTTACCTGCCTGAGGAAATAAAAAGGTTTCATGCCACAACTAAAATATCATACATATCATATCATTACTCATAAACACGCCGAGTCAGCTCGAATCAATCAAGACTTGGTTTGTATTAAAAGCATATCCAGGTCTTCACAAAACCTGAACAAACTTGTCTAACTTTTTGAGAAAGCTCATCAAGTACTTGACTGAATATCGAGCCAACTCGGTACTTCACCTGCATTAAGCCAATAATCACTATGCCAAATAACAAACCAATGAAACCAGTCACCTAATATACAAATGTAGTGTCCATAATTTGAAGATTAACTTGAATATGCTAAATTATTTGTATAAATTTCCATGATTATTTCATAGTCAGTCTAATTCTTCTCATGAGTAACCAAATGCATAATGTACTGGAGGTGTTAAAGCAATTTGTTCACGAACCGCCTCCTCAGCAGATGGATGGTGAGGACAAGAACAAGGTAAGTGAAAATTTGATGGAGGCTTAGACACACATAATGCAACAAATCATTATTTATCATGTCAACGAAAAGTGGGACAGAAAGGAGTAATAAGTGTTAACTTACCATTGGATCAAAAGGATTTCCCACTGTGTCCACAGGTTCAACGCCGACCAAACCCAAAATCTCCACGAACTGCTTGTATATGCTCTGATAGCTGTTATTGATCTTCTCTTCTCCCTCTGTCTCGACCTTAATTTGGGCTTTAGCTCTCTCAAAATTATCCAAAACAGGCAACAAATTTTCCAAAACCTCTCCTTGGGCATTCGATACCAATGAAAGGCGCTCTCTCTCGGTCCTCTTGCGAAAGTTGTCAAAGTCCGCACTAATCCTAAGAACCCGTTCCTTCTCCGTTGACAATTCTTCTAACAGAAAAGCCATTTTCTTTTCAAGATCAACCTTCTCATCTTCAACGGATTTTAAAGATGTTTCTATGTCAGCAACTTTTGACTCATCATTACTTGCCAAAGCTTCTTTGTATGATTGAAGTAACGATGAAATGGCCGAAGAAGATATTTCTTCAGCATCACTACTCTCATCTGCAGCAGCAGCGTCTTCCGCAGCGACAACACCATCTGAGGAGTCCTGTTACATATATCCATGATGATGAAAAAAGCAGCCACAAATGTCTGACAATGCAATAAAAAAATATCTATGTAAAGAAAAATATCGAGTAGAAAAGGTGAAACCACTTAATTCAAAGAACAATGTAGCATAGTGACTTAAGCTAAAAAGGGTCATGGAATAGAAATATATACCAAGGACTGACAGCAAAAAAAAACTGACACCAAAAATTCCTTCTATGGAAGGTTATACTAGTCGTCTATTTGAGTAAAAATACTCCTTTTCCATCATTCAAGGCTTCTACAGAAATTTTTGATAACATCTCATATCGCATATCGAACAAACCAGCAGCCTAAAACATACCAAATGGAATGTAAAACAAGAAGCAACCATTGAAGATCTTAAAGTTTTTTATTGGCTTAATATACAACTTCAGACATAAAAAAATTGTTAAAACCAATAATTGTGTACAGCAGAATTGTTATTTGCAAACTTGGGCGATGAGTAAAGATTTATCATGATTGATAAACAAGAAGACGGATTGTTAACATCAATTATAAGGTCTTAAAAATTACAACCCACTTTTATATTATCTTGCAATGGATCACCTACAATGACAATAAGTTGCATAGGGGCTGAGTTGGTTCTCACTTAGTGAAAAGTATTCCAACTCAATTACCTTAACTATATTATGTTCATGTGGAAGAAAAGTATTCACGAAGAGTGAAACTTTTTGAGACATAAAATAAAAGTCTCTCTACCGAACATAAACAAGTAAATATAAAGTCCAGAACAATAAAGAAAACAAAGGATTAAATATTAATTAACACTTCCAAACATAGCAATCTAAATTTGCAGGAAGTCTTTTTTATAGATATGCATAGGCAACTTTGAAGTAGGTGATTAATATATCAAAGTTCAGCTGTAAAATTATGGCTCAAATAACTGAAGCCAGGTTACATTCATCTCCAAAAAGGATCCAACCACCAGATTTGGCTATAAATTTCTATCATACAAGGTTTCACTTTCAAGATGGATAGCATAGAACCAAGTATAAAGTTGGCCTCTGTAAATTCGGGTTATAACCTGCCAAGCAACGGTGCAATAATTCTAACAAAGATCAATGCATTCAAAACTCAAGTCCCAATTCCCCTTTTCAACCAAATCCTCATCAGTTTCAGTTTGACCTCATCTCCATGGCCCAAAAGACAATAACCTCTTAGTTCATTGCTAGGCTTCACTAATTCTCCTAATTCAATCAATACAAATTGTGCATTTTCTCCTCCATGTATTTTTTTCAAATAATTTTATTGGCTTCCATTAAAGATCGCGTTAAACTCTCATAACCATAGAAAGCTATGATAGCTAAGAAATAACAAAAAGCATTCACGTTTATAGTCAATGATGACTGGAAAATGCTAAAGTGAACTACATCTTTTATCCAATATTGTATGAGTAACCTCAAAAAGAAAAAGAAATCGTTCAACAAGGTGTAGAACTGGACAACTCATACTAAATAGTAAATGTGGAAAAAGAAGTACCCTAATTGTAAAGTTAGTAAGTAAAGCATATCCAATCCACAAAGCTACAAAGAAAAGAAGATTCTCGACAAGAAAATTCCTTGATATGGCTAAATTCTACACATTATCAAAGTATCTATCTTTTGCCTCATTTCTAGCAAGCTTCACAGTTAATTTCCAAAACCCATATATGTTTATGTCAACTATACAAGAAAAGTATAAACTAGGACAAAATTTCACACCCAGAAAAACTAAACAATTAAAAAAAGGAACTTGGAACCATTGTATGTTACCTCAATTTGGGTTTCTTGAACTTCTTGTTGGGTATCAGTAGTTCCGGTTTCACCAGCAAAAGGAACCAACTTGACGAACCGAAGAGAGGGAGTGAAGCTGAACCGGAGGGGACGGCTCGAACGAGGAAGTCTTTGTTTGAAGCAGACATGGAAGGCCTTTGAAGAGTTTAAGGTAGTAACACGTGGATTTAGAGCAGGAGGAGACTTAAACGGCAGCGTTTTGAGGAGGGTAGCCATGGGAGATGAAAGCTATCCTTGAGAATGCGAGAGTGAGAGAAGGAGAGGTGTAGAGAAGAGTAGAAAACGGTGTGTGACGGACAGATAAAAGAGAAGCAGCTGAGGTTTGATTTCGACCGTGGATGATTGTTTGCTAAGCAGACCTAAGCGACCGTTGGATGATATCCCAATTACTATTTTGGTGCCTGAGCTTTCTATTTTGTACATATTTATCCCCTAACTTTATATTTTTCGAGATTTGATTCTTGAATTTGAATTGTTGTCTTGATTTGGTACTACGAGATTTTTTCCTATCACCACTTGAAAATTTTAGGTAAAAAGGTATTTAAGGCCCTTCTACTTTAAAAGAAATAAATGCGGCCCTCGAATTATTATTGCACCTAATGTAGCTTTTCAACTTATAAAACAAATTCAACGTGATCTTTTCACCAGTGTTTTTCAACGATGATCATCATGGTGTTGATGTGGAAATTCAAGATGATGACGTAGCAGTTCACAGTGTTGGCGTGACGGTCCATGGTAGATGATGACGTGACAGATGACATGGTAGATGGGTTAAATTGATTTTTTGATCTTGTTCGAGGGTCAAAATGATTTTTTAAAAAAAGTTTAGGGGCTTATTTATTTTTTCTAAAAATAAAAAAAAATATTTTTAAATTTTAAATACAAAATATTCAAGTATTAAAAAATGAAATATAAAATACTAAAAAATTAAATATATATATATATATATATTAAAAATACTAAAAATATTATTTATATATATATATATATTAAAAATAATAACCAACAGGAGTTGGTTCAAGTGATAAGGAACTTGATATCACTTATGTAGGTCTCAAGTTTGAGCCCTTGTGTATGTAAAAAATATTTGCTAAGAGACTCACTCACCAAATCAATGTATACGACATTGATCGGTCCGAGTTAATCAGGATAAAGCTCTGAAAATCGAGAGGGCAACCAAAAATTACACTAAAAATATTATTAAAAATTATATATATATATCATAAGCTATAAAATGATAACTTATAAATTATTAAAAAATTAAAAAAATATTTTTAAAAATATTATATTATACATAATATATACTTGTAATATATAGTCATATCATCAACACTTATACAAAGTATTCTTATTAGATTAGTCAAGATTTATAAATTTTATATCTAAAAATAAATAGAAAACAATCAACAATCTCTAGAATAAGTGATTAAAAGCTCTCAGTTGACACCTCCCCTCTTTCCTAAGTTGTGGTTTCAGACGAAGTCAGAACTAAATATTGACAGGGACCAAAATATTAGACCATTTAAAAAAATATCAAGACTTAGTAGATATTTAAACTCAAAATTCAATACGAACTAAGTAATCTTATTGAATGTATTGTTGTTATCTTTGAGGTCTCGAGTTCGAGCATTGAGTATGTAAGAGCATGAGTGTTTATTGTCAAATAGTTAATAGTCTCTGTACATATATTACCTTGTATTCACCCTAGATTTATTTTTTTTTAAAACTCGAAATTCACAAAATAACACTTAATTTGTCTAATTTTTAAACTTATAATTACCTAAATTGTTATTAGATCAAAAATTTTAAAAATATGAGGTTATCCTTCTTTAATTCGATCCTTACTTGATTAAATATTTAATAAATTCTTATATTTTTAAATTAAATATTCATTTTTACATGAATCAAAATACTATTAGACTAAAATTATATCGAATATACAAATTTTAACAATGGACCTCACTAAGCTCCGTCCCTATTCAATATTCAATACCATAGAAGCAAAATTCCTCTTCCCCTCCCATAGGTAGAAATTGTTAATATATATATATATATATATATATATATAATTAAGAAACATGGTAAGTTTTTTGTATCAATACACACAATTAATCATATTGAGGACTATTTGTAACACTTGTACATTGTATAATAAGCTATTATATAAAATGACACTTAAAATTTGTTTGAAATATGATTAGATTTGTGTATTGATGCGAGTAACTTACGATGTTCTCTAACTATATCTATATATATATAACTTGTGGATTTATTTTTTATTTTTTTTATTTTTAAATGATTATTAATTATTTATTAACATATATAAAATATTATTACGTTGACATCACATGTTTGTAGCATAATTTCTAAACTCGTCCCAGACAATAAAATCGAATATAAAATGTCACATTAATTACTGAATCGGCTTAAACTATTATTCAAAAGTAAACATAATATGAAAGCAAAGAATAACAACGAAAAATCAACATAATCAATATGCATATTAAATTAACAGAATATAACAGAATATATGGTTGAATAAAATTAATTAAAAATATCATTGGTTGTTGTTGAAAAAAATAATAATACGAAACTATGAAAAATATCATGTAAGTATCTTCATTTTTTAACAATGATGACTAAAATAAAAATATAATATAATATTAGATTTATAATTCTGAAAAGAAATAGTTAGATGACTAAATTAAAAATGCTGAAATAGATGGATGATCAAATATTATAATATTAAATTTACGTTTTATATCATTATACTTTATTTAATCGTTAAATTTATATTTCATGAATTTGAATATTTATTACTTTTTACATTTGTTATACATATATAATGGTCGTGCTAAAGATTATTTTATATATAATTTACATTTTTAAATTTATTTTACTTTCTCATTTAACATTAAAATCTCTTATTAACTTTTTTTATTAATAAGAATTTTAATATAATTATATTAATTACTAATATTTAGTTAAAACAAGATTTTTAGATTTTAATCGGATTTATCTTAAACTCGAGCTCGGATTAATCTCATGTTCAAACATTTCCAAGATCAAATTCTTAGATTTAAACTATTATGAACTTGTATCGAAGTAAACATACTTTTGAGCTCGAACATATTTCACTAATTTTGAGTGTATGCACGTCGTCAATGAATTACGAAAACTCTAAATAGATACTATCTTATAATAAATAAATAATAATAAAAACTTACCCAACATAAAATCAATTAATTCCACATAATTCCCCTCTCATTTCCTTAAAATGCCATCACTTACTCTTTCCATCGTGTCTTCCGAGAGATTCTCTCCTTTTCTAGGTTTTTGTTTTTATTTTTCTTCCTTTTCAGTTTAATCACCAAATAATGAATTGAGATGTCATGTTTTACAACCACTTTTCTTTTTGGAGATGGACCAAAATTAGAGATAAACATAAAATTTTATGAGTTGAATATGTTTTATTCGAGGACCACATTTTATGCTAGGGGACGAAAATAGATTTTTTATTTTCTTTTCAATAGATTTTTTTGTCGGGTACTGAATTTTACTCTTTCTCCTATTTCACTCATTGTATTTTAAATCTTTTCAATTTCCTCATTGGACTTAATACATTGGGTTTTTTGTCACTTAGCCGTTTTCTCACTAAGTGTGTTATAAATGGACTGTTATATAGATGCAAAACGATGTCGTTTTGGTGAAAATTTTATTTTTTAAAATAATGTTGTTTTAATGTCGTTAACTATTTAACTGTCGAGTGACCAAAAAACTCAATGTTTAAGTTCAGTGAAAAAAATGAAAACTTTTAAAGTTCAGTGAGGAAAACATGAGAGAAATAAATTAAAATTCATTGATGAAATTTGTAATTTATCCTTATTTTAAATGAAGATTTATTTTTCATAAAATTTTAATTATTATTAACTATAACATTTAATTGTATAATGTCAACGCTTCACAAGAATTAAATGTAGGTGTATTAAATAAAAGTGTTGAATTATATAATAGATTTTAGGTTCTAATTTTTATTTTACTATGAATAAAATTTTAAATTTATATATATATATATATATATATATATATATATATATATTACCGTATTCAATTTTTATTATATCTTGTTGCTCTGGAGCACTAGTTTTACTTCTTTTCTTTTTTTTATGTCGCTGTTAGTTATTTTTCTTTTTTAACTTTGTAATTAATGAAGACATTAACTTTAGCGTTGGTCGATGACCATTTATATTTATTGTTTTTCTTTATTTTATTATATCATATATTTTTTCTTTTTTTTAAATTTTTAAATAATTTTACTTTTATGACACGATTTTTTCTTCCTTTATAGCATGTTTCTCTTTGTCCTTTGGTACATTTTCAGTTGTTTGCTTGTTATTTTTGTTTATACTTTTTATCAGAGTTGGATTTGACATTATCACGAATAATCAAGATGGTGCTTTTGTAATAATGTTTATCTTCCCTGCTTTGGACCTTCGGATAAGATTTTGGATACGTGATTTACGTTCGTTGATAGTTTTCTCATGTTGCTCGATTCTGATTTACATTTTACCAGTAGTCTTTCAATAACTTGATCTCCTTTTCTGATTCGTTTACTGATACAATTAGATCTGTTCGTGTCAATCTTTTAATCAAGTTTATTGTATTAGGTTTTTTAACCTACTCATTATATATGGTCTTTGTGTGATATTAAATGACTAGTTTCTTGTGTTAATGATTATAGGAAAATGTCCTTATTATGTGTTTAGTTTACGGTTGTAGTTGTAAACTTTCATTCTAATTTGAATACTTTTTTATTTTTAATAAAACTAGCGGTTTTTATCTTGTCAAAAAAAGTTAATTATATCTCGAGAGATATATAATATCATCTTAAACTTTATTTGTAAAATATTAACATATCTACTACTTACAATCTTCTTATTTAATTTTTTTACGACTTTCACACGAATCAAGCAACTTTGGTGATAAAGAAATTGTTGTTATTCAACGTCAACTGGTTGAGAGTTGTCTTGGAACAAATATTATCTAATATTTATCCCAAATTAATTAAAAACTGTGATATTCAAATATTTAATCTAATATAAAAAAATTAAATCATTTTTATCATGTTTTCTTTCAATTATGAAAAATAAGGTGGAGTTTTCTTCTCCACAACCTTCCACCTAAATGTGAATTAAGACTTAAAAGAAACTTCGCCGTCAATTACTAAATAATAATTATAGTATATCCTTTGTACGCACCAAATTTTTATCTGATAAATAAA